AGTAAATATATCTTTTTTTCCATTGCCAGACTTCACCCTCTAATTTGAGTCCATAAGCCAGCAGCCATTGCAAAGGCAATCAGCTCAAGCAGAAGAGCAAGCACTATCCCAGGCCATTCCCGCCTTTGATGATAAGCATCCTGCAACCCCAAACTAAAAAATCAAAGATAAAATAATGCTTCAAATGTTGTAAACAACATAACAGCTTCGTCCAAGATGGCGGCTCAGAGGAGGCAAGCGCGGTATTTGGTGTAGGTAGGAGGCCTTGAGGGCGGCGGGCCCCTGCTGTAGGGGGGCGGGCCCCTGCTGTAGGGTTGCGGGCCCCTGCTGTAGGGTTGCGGGCCCCTGCTGTAAGGTGGCGGGCCCCCTGCTGTAAGGTGGCGGGCCCCTGCTGTAGGGCGGCGGGCCCCCTGCTGTAGGGGGGCGGTCCCCTGCTGTAAGGTGGCGAGCCCCTGCTGTAGGGTGGCGGGCCCCTGCTGTAGGGCGGCGGGCCCCTGCTGTAGGGTGGCGAGCCCCTGCTGTAGGGCGGCGGGCCCCTGCTGTAAGGTGGCGGGCCCCCTGCTGTAGGGGGGCGGTCCCCTGCTGTAAGGTGGCGAGCCCCTGCTGTAGGGTGGCGGGCCCCTGCTGTAGGGCGGCGGGCCCCTGCTGTAGGGTGGCGAGCCCCTGCTGTAGGGCGGCGGGCCCCTGCTGTAGGGCGGCGGGCCCCTGCTGTAGGGTGGCGAGCCCCTGCTGTAAGGTGGCGGGCCCCTGCTGTAGGGCGGCGGGCCCCTGCTGTAAGGTGGCGGGCCCCTGCTGTAGGGTTGCGGGCCCCCTGCTGTAGGGTGGCGAGCCCCTGCTGTAGGGTGGCGAGCCCCTGCTGTAGGGTGGCGAGCCCCTGCTGTAAGGTGGCGGGCCCCTGCTGTAAGGTGGCGGGCCCCTGCTGTAGGGCGGCGGGCCCCTGCTGTAAGGTGGCGGGCCCCTGCTGTAGGGTTGCGGGCCCCCTGCTGTAGGGTGGCGAGCCCCTGCTGTAGGGTGGCGAGCCCCTGCTGTAGGGTGGCGAGCCCCTGCTGTAGGGCGGCGGGCCCCTGCTGTAAGGTGGCGGGCCCCTGCTGTAGGGTTGCGGGCCCCCTGCTGTAGGGTGGCGAGCCCCTGCTGTAGGGTGGCGGGCCCCTGCTGTAGGGTGGCGGGCCCCTGCTGTAGGGTGGCGGGCCCCTGCTGTAGGGTGGCGAGCCCCTGCTGTAGGGTGGCGGGCCCCTGCTGTAGGGTGGCGAGCCCCTGCTGTAGGGTGGCGAGCCCCTGCTGTAGGGTGGCGAGCCCCTGCTGTAGGGTGGCGGGCCCCTGCTGTAGGGTGGCGAGCCCCTGCTGTAGGGTGGCGAGCCCCTGCTGTAGGGTGGCGAGCCCCTGTTGTAGGGTGGCGGGCCCCTGCTGTAGGGCGGCGGGCCCCTGCTGTAGGGTGGCGGGCCCCTGCTGTAGGGGGGCGGGCCCCTGCTGTAGGGTGGCGGGCCCCTGCTGTAAGGTGGCGGGTCCCCTGCTGTAGGGTGGCGAGCCCCTGCTGTAGGGGGGCGGGCCCCTGCTGTAGGGTGGCGGGCCCCTGCTGTAAGGTGGCGGGTCCCCTGCTGTAGGGGCGGGCCCCTGCTGTAGGGTGGCGGGCCCCTGCTGTAGGGGCGGGCCCCTGCTGTAGGGTGGCGGGTCCCCTGCTGTAGGGGCGGGCCCCTGCTGTAGGGGCCCCACCACAACCACTAAACCAACCTGTTCTCCTACAAAGAGCGTCGCTTTTCGCCCGTATATGTTACATACGGCCAAATATCGTCGTACTAAGAATGTTAGCGGGCTGGCGAAAGTGACGCCACCTCGTCGAGGCCACTAGAGTGTTAGTGGCCCTCAGGTAAATTCAGGTAATCAGTAACCGAGCGTTCATACACGACCCCAACCCTGAACCAGTAAAGTCTTCAAGTGCCAGGGTCCCCAAAACTGACCGGGGGCCCTAAAAAGTTACTTCAATAAAGACCCGATGGCCCTTAAAGCTTCCTCAATAAAGACCCGATGGCCCTAAAAAACTACCTCAATAAAAAGACTCGGGCCCCCAAAAGGCGCCATCAATAAACATTGGCCCCAGGGTCCCTAAAGAGCGTCCTCGGTGATGACGGGGTCCCTAAGACCGCCTTTTCCACTTTCCGTTTTCTGTACAGTTGTCCCGCTCGCAAGATATCCCCTCAGTTCGTGTCTACAATATCGCTCGTAGCGTCGTACCATCTTTTGCCCCCGTGGAGGGTCCCACTTGCAGGGTTTTGCAAGACCTCGACTCACATGGTAAAGGGTGAGTCGAGGGCATAACTTTATGCCGCGTGAAGAACTTTTACTGAACGTGTGTTTTACTGAACGTGCGGACGCTGACGCTGACCAGGGGCCAGATTCACGAAAGCATTTACGCAAGCACTTACGAACCTGTCCATCTTTTCTCAATTTTGGCGGCTTTGTTTACAATTATTAAACAGTTAATGAGCTTCGAAGCACCAGGAGGCTGTTTATAACAATAACAACAGTTGATTGGCAAGTTTTCATGCTTGTAAACTGTTTAATAAATGTAACCAAAGCCGTCAAAGATTGAGGAAAGATGTACACGTTCGTAAGTGCTTGCGTAACTGTTTCGTGAATCTGGCCCCAGGTTCGTAAGTGCTTGCGTAACTGTTTCGTGAATCTGGCCCCTGCTGTCCACACTTGTCTTGCAGACGAGGAGTCACAATAACGTGGCTGAAATATGTTGACCAGACCACACACTAGAATGTGAGGGGACGATGACGTTTCGGTCCGTCCTGGACCATTCTCAAGACACCTGGAGCATGGTCCAGGACGGACCGAAACGTCGTCGTCCCTTCACCTTCTAGTGTGTGGTCTGGTCAACACTTGTCTTGTTTCCCTAAAAGGCATTACTTATTCTGAATTCTACCCAGTCATTATTTTTGTAGTCCGAGACTGCTGGCAGGATGGACTGTTACGGTCTGGGCTGACACGTAAGAAACTGAAGACTCTTAAAGGTGAACTATTCCTTTGGCTTCCTCCTAACACCGGAATAGACGATGGGAAACGGCTCTGGCTAGGTTACATATAGGTCACATGTGCTTAACTGGTGGACATTTGATGAAATGCCGCCTTGCTCCTTATTGTCCAAATTGCATTGTCCCAATGACAGGCGTCCACCTCCTTGTATAATGTCCAGATTTTCAGGACACTGTATGTCTTGCTTTCCTAATGTTCCTCGCAGACATTTGTCCCTCGATAGAATCCTTGGTGAATATGATGCCTTTGATATCGCTCGCTTTATGCAATGTTCTTCTCATACTGGCATCTTGAGCTATATTAGTGCCTTGTGGATATCCAGCGACACTGATATGGTTATCTTGTGGTTATCTTGAGACGATTTCGGGGCGTTTTTAGTGTCCTCGCGGCCCGGTCCTCGACCAGGCCTCCACCCCCAGGAAGCAGCCCGTGACAGCTGACTAACACCCAGGTACCTATTTTACTGCTAGGTAACAGGGGCATAGGGTCAAAGAAACTCTGCCCATTGTTTCTCGCCGGCGCCTGGGATCGAACCCGGGACCACAGGAACACAAGTCCAGCGTGCTGTCCGCTCGGCCGACCGGCTTCCTGGTGCTACGTTATAAGTATAACATTCAGGGGTTTTAAAGATCATGTTCTAAGATAATGAGACACTTGTTCACTGAGAATTATAATGTAGTATTGCCTTGTAAAACTTATGTATATATGATACGTATGTATATATATACGTAGGGGCCTCGTAGCCTGGTGGATAGCGTGCAGGACTCGTAATTCTGTGGCGCGGGTTCGATTCCCGCACGAGGCAGAAACAAATGGGCAAAGTTTCTTTCACCCTGAATGCCCCTGTTACCTAGCAGTAAAATAGGTACCTGGGAGTTAGTCAGCTGTCACGGGCTGCTTCCTGGGGGTGGAGGCCTGGTCGAGGACCGGGCCGCGGGGACACTAAAGCCCCGAAATCATCTCAAGATAACCTCAAGAAGATGATTTATATTGTATTTTATTAAATAAAGATAAAAAAAACATAAGCCTCCTCGGTTTGGTGCCTTCTATTGATAATTACTTGAGGCCAGATTGGCGAAGTAGTTACGCAAGCACTTACGAACCTCTGGAATCAGCCCGTCCTCCAAACAAAGACCCAGAAGTGATGCCATCCCCCCGCCAAACCCCTTAGCTGTTTATGGATGAAAAACGGTTTACACACGACTCACAACTGCTGCCGTCCGAACACTTCCGGAACAAGTGCTTCACTGACGACTGGTGTTCGAACCACAACGCTGTAAATGCTTCACCCACGTACTACAAATACCAATACTCGCCAACAGAACCTAAACACCTAACCCTAACCTATGCCTATATATGTACAATATGCCAATATATCATTATATTAATTGATATTTGAGAAAATTCCCGTTTTGAATGAATAGCATGTAAAAATTTATGAATGCGTCTGTGGGGTCGACCGCTGGATGGAATGGACTCGAGTCGAGGACGCTGGAACAGCCGTACAAAAATGGCGGGAAAATTGCCAAGCGTCGCCAATTTTTCCTCTCGCTGTGTGATGAAACTTAAATATACATTAAATAATACAAATAATTATCGAGAAAATATGTAATTATGATATGTGTTATCATAATTACTCTGTGTAAATACTAAGCAACTCTGTTTTATGTAATTACCAGGAGCCAGATTCACGAAAGCACTTACGCAAGCACTTACGAACCTGTCCATCTTTTCTCAATCTTTGGCGGCTTTGTTTACAATTATTAAACAGTTAATGAGCTCCGAAGCACCAGGAGGCTGTTTATAACAATAACAACAGTTGATTGGCAAGTTTTCATGCTTGTAAACTGTTTAATAAATGTAACCAAAGCCGTCAAAGATTGAGGAAAGATGTACACGTTCGTAAGTGCTTGCGTAACTGCTTCGTGAATCTGGCCCCAGGTTTACAGTAGAGGTATACTCACAGGGTCAGTAGTACCCCGGCGGTCACAGATGACGGTCACCAGGACGTGAGCTGGTCCCTCCTTGCCCTGGAAGATGTATACTCACTCAGTACTCTACCAGTACACCCAGTACTCTACCAGTACACCCAGTACTCTACCAGTACACCCAGTACTCTACCAGTACACCCAGTACTCTACCAGTACACCCAGTACTCTACCAGTACACCCAGTACTCTACCAGTACACCCAGTACTCTACCAGTACACCACCCGGTCTACCAGTACACCAGTACTCTACCCACCCAGTACTCTACCAGTACTACTACCAGTACACCCAGTACTCTACCAGTACACCCAGTACTCTACCAGTACACCCAGTACTCTACCAGTACACCCAGTACTCTACCAGTACACCCAGTACTCTACCAGTACACCTACCAGTACACCCAGTACTCTACCAGTACACCCAGTACTCTACCAGTACACCCAGTACTCTACCAGTACACACGGTACTCCACCAGCACCCCCCAGTACTCCACCAGTACACACGGTACTCCACCAGTACACCCAATACACCCAGTACTCCACCAGTACTCCACCAGTACACCCAGTACACCACCAGTACTCCACCAGTACACCCAGTACACCACCAGTACACCCAGTACTCCACCAGTACACCCAGTACTCCACCAGCACCCCCAGTACTCCACCAGTACACCCAGTACCCCCAGTACTCCACCAGCACCACCAGTACTCCACCAGCACCCCCAGTACTCCACCAGTACACCCAGTACCCCCAGTACTCCACCAGCACCACCAGTACCCCACCAGTACCCCCAGTACCCCACCAGTACTCCACCAGTACCCCCAGTACTCACCTCCTTGTCCAGCTTCTTAGTAAGAGTGAGGTTCTTGGAGTTGGGAGAGATGTGTACCGGCGAGTCCTTCTCCTTCAGTCTGAGGTAGATGTCTCCGTCAGCAGCGGCGTTCCCTTCAAGTCTCAGCGTCCCTGGAACACTCTCAGCTGTTAGTAGGGTCAGGGGCCCTCCCTCAGGGCCAGGGGCCCTCCCTCAGGGTGTGGGGCCCTCCCTCAGGGTGTGGGGGGCCCTCTCTCAGGGTGTGGGGCCCTCCCTCAGGGTGTGGGGGTCCTCTCTCAGGGCCAGGGGCCCTCCCTCAGGGTGTGGGGCCCTCCCTCAGGGCCAGGGGCCCTCCCTCAGGGCGAGGACCCTCAGAAGGGCCCTTCCTCAGGTCCTGCTTCTCAGGGGCCATTAACCTTGTCTAAGACAGTTTACCCGGCAGCACCCGGGTCTCTTTCCACCTTCTTTCCACCCCTTCTCTCAGAAAATTTATCATTAACAATCACAGGAACACCTATATGGTCTCTTAGAAAATATATTATTACTGGTTATTGAAAACTCTAGGGAAATCACACTATATATTTCACACTTTGACTCCATGAAGCCCTCCTGGTGTCTATAATTGTTAATATTTGTCAAATTAAAGAACTTAAGCCGACTCTGACCAACCTATGTCCGTCCTGTACCACAGACCAGTCCCCCTGCAAATTTGGGTAAGGGTTAGCGATATTATAGTATAACTTTATAACTTATAATATAACTTCATATTTACATTTTTCCTGATATATATATATATATATATATATATATATATATATATATATATATATATATATATATATATATATATATATATATATATATATATATTTTATTAAATATGACCGAAAAAGTAAGATTAATAATTCTAACACGAATTTTCTCAATCTTTCGTACATTATGCTTCACTGTTGGAGGTAAATCAAAAATCACTTCTCCAAAATTCATTTTTATTTCTAGTCTGACGCGACACGGGCGCGTTTCGTAAAACTTATTACATTTTCAAAGACTTCACAAATACACAACTGATTAGAACTTGCATTTCCCTGATTTTATATCTACATTGAGTGAGGTGGGAAGGGTGATGTGGCATTACATTTGAGTGAGGTGGGAAGGATGATGTGGCATTAGAGGATATTAATAGGGTATTAAAAGTATCAACACAAGACAAGGAAAAGGATGGGAAGCTGCCTTTTCTAGATGTAACAGTCATGGAAAAGGGCGGAGGTTTCCACACTGCAGTCTACACAAAGGAAACAAACATAGGAATGTGCCTAAATGCCAACAGCGACTGCCCTGACAGGTACAAGAGGAGTGTTGTTAACGCATACGTCGACCGTGCTCTCAGCCATAGCTCAGAATGGAAGCAAGTCGACGAAGAACTCTGTAGGGTAAGGCAGGTTCTAGTCAATAACGGCTTCTCCAATGGTTTCATCGAAGACATCATAAGAAGGAAAGTGAAAAGCCATGCAACCTCCGAAGAGACAACTAACACAACACCTATACCCCCTATTAGACTATTTTACAGGAACTTCTTTTCCACAGCTCATAAAACAGAGGAAAGGGTCCTGAAAGATATTGTTAATAGAAACGTTATCCCTACAGACAAAAATCAGAGGATACAACTGACGATTTACTATAAAACCAGAAAAACGGCCAGCCTACTCATGAGAAAACTCTCCAGACACGAAACAGAACGCTTTAAAAGAGACTAACGTCGTCTATGCCTTCAAATGCCCACTTGGGGACTGTAAGCTCCAAAAAACCCAGTATATAGGCAAGACAACAACATCTCTTTCTAGGCGTTTAACGATGCATAAACAACAGGGCTCCATTAAGGAACATATAATCTCTTCCCATAACCAAACCATCGCCAGAGAAATCCTAGTAAACAACACAGAAATCATCGATAGATACAGCGATAGCAGGCGGCTTGACGTTTGCGAGGCACTACACATCAAGAAGTCAACACCAGCAATCAACAGCAATTATTGCACAACTATATTCTACCCACCTCAAGACTCCGCTCCAATATAGAAGCATCAAGAAATATGGACCAATAGGCTTTCTACAAACACTTCTATTCAATATCCATTGTTTCGTGTTCTGTCTTGTGTTGATACTTTTAATACCCTATTAATATCCTCTAATGCCACATCATCCTTCCCACCTCACTCAAATGTAATGCCACATCACCCTTCCCACCTCACTCAAATGTAGATATAAAATCAGGGAAATGCAAGTTCTAATCAGTTGTGTATTTGTGAAGTCTTTGAAAATGTAATAAGTTTTACGAAACGCGCCCGTGTCGCGTCAGACTAGAAATAAAAATGAATTTTGGAGAAGTGATTTTTGATTTACCTCCAACAGTGAAGCATAATGTACGAAAGATTGAGAAAATTCGTGTTAGAATTATTAATCTTACTTTTCGGTCATATTTAATAAAATATGTCTACAGGAAAGACTGCTACCAAAATATACTAATATATATATATATATATATATATATATATATATAAATACTAAAATCCTGGGGCCAGGTTCACGAAACAGTCACGCAAGCACTTACGAGCCTGAGGCCAGATTCACGAAGCAGTTACGCAAGCACTTACGAACGTGTACATCTTTCCTCAATCTTTGACGGCTTTGGTTACATTTATTAAACAGTTTACAAGCATGAAAACTTGCCAATCAACTGTTGTTATTGTTATAAACAGCCTCCTGGTGCTTCGGAGCTCATTAACTGTTTAATAATTGTAAACAAAGCCGCCAAAGATTGAGAAAAGATGGACAGGTTCGTAAGTGCTTGCGTAACTACTTCGTGAATCTGGCCCCTGTAGACTTTTCCTCACATATGGCGGCTTTGTTTACATCTAGTAAGTAACCTATGAGCTGCGAGGCACTACGAGGTCGTTTATAACAACGACAAATTCCCTCTCAAGTTTCGTTAACTACTTAATTTAACGTCAACAAGGCCTCGATGATGGAGGAAAGATGCACAGGTTTCGCTAGCTGTTGTGTAAGAGGTTGAGAGCCCCGGGGTAGTGTGGTAGGGGGTTGAGAGAGGGACTCACCTATCACGCTCCCGACAGCAAGGCTTTCCCGGACAAAGAAGTTCTCCACAGAGCCGCCTTGGGTCAGGAAACACCGCGAGTCTGTAACATAAAGAGTCCGGGTGTTAGGTAATACACATACAGTAATACACATAGTAATACACACACAGTAATACACACAGTGAAAGAATAATACTTGAAAGCGCTATGTCATGGGTTCGTATCCTGGCCGGGGAGGATTTACTGGGCGCAATTCCTTAACTGTAGCCTCTGTTTAACGCAACAGTAAAATGTGTACTTGGATGAAAAAACGATTCTTCGCGGCAGGGGATCGTATTCCAGGGACCATAGGATTAAGGACTTGCCTGAAACGCTACGCGTACTAGTGGCTCTACAAGAATGTAACAACTCTTGTATATATCTCAAAAAAAAAAAAAAAAAATACTTGAAAGAATAATTAGGCTAAGACTTGTTGAGCACCTGGAGAGCATTGGGTTTGTAAACAAGCACCAACATGGGTTCTGGACAGGGAAATCATGCCTAACAAACCTTTTAGAATTCTATGATAAAGTAACAAGGATAAGACAGGACAGAGAAGGCTGGGCAGACTGTATATTTCTTGACTGCCAAAAGGCCTTTGATACGGTACCGCACATGAGACTGCTATACAAACTTGAGAGGCAGGCAGGAGTAAGCGGAAAGGCCCTAGTATGGGTGAAGAACTACCTAACAGGAAGGAGCCAGAGGGTAATGGTAAGGGGCGAAAAGTCGGACTGGCGAACAGTAACAAGTGGAGTACCTCAAGGATCGGTGCTGGGACCAATCCTCTTTCTAATTTACGTAAATGATATGTTTACAGGAGTGGAATCATACATGTCAATGTTTGCGGATGACGCAAAATTAATGAGAAGAGTTGTGACAGACGAGGATTGTAGGATCCTCCAAGAGGACTTAAACAGGTTGCAGAGATGGTCAGGGAAATGGCTACTGGAGTTTAACACCAGTAAATGTAAAGTTATGGAAATGGGATCAGGTGATAGGAGACCAAAGGGACAGTACACAATGAAGGGGAACAGCCTACCTGTTACGATTCGAGAAAGAGACCTGGGAGTGGATGTGACACCGAATCTAACTCCTGAGGCACATATAAATAGGATAACGACAGCAGCGTACTCTACACTGGCGAAAATTAGAACTTCATTCAGAAACCTAAGTAAGGAGGCTTTTAGGGCGCTTTACACTGCCTACGTGCGGCCAGTCTTACAGTATGCCGCCCCATCATGGAGCCCCCATCTGAAGAAACACATAAAGAAACTGGAGAAGGTTCAGAGGTTTGCGACGAGGCTTGTCCCAGAGTTACGAGGGATGGGATATGAAGAGCGTCTGAAGGAACTGAACCTTACGACACTAGAGAAAAGAAGGGAGAGAGGAGATATGATAGGAACATATAAAATACTCAGGGGAATTGACAAAGTGGAAAGAGATGAAATGTTCACACGTAATAATAACAGAACGAGGGGACATGGGTGGAAACTGGAAACTCAGATGAGTCACAGAGATGTTAGGAAGTTTTCTTTTAGCGTGAGAGTAGTGGAAAAATGGAATGCACTTGGGGAACAGGTTGTGGAAGCAAATACTATTCATACTTTTAAAATTAGGTATGATAGGGAAATGGGACAGGAGTCATTGCTGTAAACAACCGATAGCTAGAAAGGCGGGATCCAAGAGCCAATGCTCGATCCTGCAGACACAAATAGGTGAGTACAAATAGATGAGTACAGTAATACACATACACTCCTGGGAGGTAAATCCTGCAATAGTCAAATAAACATCTGCAGGCCGCTCCAAGCAACAGCCTGGTGGACCAAACTCTCACAAGTCAAGCCTGGCCGCGGGCCGGGCTGTGGTGGGTATGTGGGCCTGCGGGCCGCTCCAAGCAACAGCCTGGTGGACCAAACTCTCACAAGTCAAGCCTGGCCTCGGGCCGGGCTGTGGTGGGTATGTGGGCCTGCGGGCCGCTCCAAGCAACAGCCTGGTGGACCAAACTCTCACAAGTCAAGCCTGGCCTCGGGCCGGGCTGTGGTGGGTATGTGGGCCTGCGGGCCACTCCGAGCAACAGCCTGGTGGACCAAACTCTCACAAGTCAAGCCTGGCCTCGGGTCGGGCTGTGGTGGGTATGTGGGCCTGCGGGCCACTCCGAGCAACAGCCTGGTGGACCAAACTCTCACAAGTCAAGCCTGGCCTCGGGCCGGGCTGTGGTGGGTATGTGGGCCTGCGGGCCGCTCCAAGCAACAGCCTGGTGGACCAAACTCTCACAAGTCAAGCCTGGCCTCGGGCCGGGCTGTGGTGGGTATGTGGGCCTGTGGGCCGCTCCAAGCAACAGACATCAGCCAAGCAATACCCCCAGAGACCTCTGGCGGTCGCATCAAGAAACTTGGAGATACCTCTGTATACATTTCCTGTTAGGAAGGGATCAGTGGCCACCTAACCTTGGTAGGAGGAACACGTCACCCGCTTCTGTCTCTCCGCAAAGCCCTGGGGCCAGATTCACGAAGCAGTTACGAACCTGGGACCAGATTCAGGAAGCAATTACGCAAGCACTTACGAACCTGTCCATCTTTTCTCAATCTTTGGCGGCTTTGTTTACAATTATTAAACAGTTAATGAGCTCGCAAGCACCAGGAGGCTGTTTATAACAATAACAACAGTTGATTGGCAAGTTTTCCTGCTTGTAAACTGTTTAATAAATGTAACCAAAGCCGTCAAAGATTGAGGAAAGATGTACACGTTCGTAAGTGCTTGCGTAACTGCTTCGTGAATCTGGCCCCAGGTTCGTAAGTGCTTGCGTAACTGCTTCGTGAATCTGGCCCCAGGTTCGTAAGTGCTTGCGCAACTACTTCGTGAATCAAGCCCCTGGTCGCTACGAGGCAGAGTATTCAGGTATTTTAGGAATATTTGAATAAATTTAATAAATTTGAATAAATTGATTTCAACATTTTACGATACAATGATGTGAATGGCAGGAAATGTTCTCCTCGGCAGTACAATGGCGCGCGTGGGAACTGCCTTGTTTGGCCCCGCAGGCCATTTAGAGGATTGTTCTCAGTAGGCTAATGGTGCAAATCAAAGGTCAGGTCGCTCCTAGCTTGCATGCCTTTCTCCCTGAGAGAAGGTGAAAGGACTTGTGTAGCATGCTTTTGAGCCGAGTAACAGGAACTCATCCTGTAACTACTAGAGTTGTTTTTAAGTCGCGGGAGATCTATTGTTCACTTGAGACAGTATGGGAAGTCCCAGCTGTGTCTGGGTACAAGTGACAGGATGAACAACCCAGCGGGTTTTCTTCCTATTGGGGAGTGTTGTACATGCTGCTATGGCGGTGTGTCCACTCACAGGATGAGTGCCGCTGCCCAATACTGTCACTATGGCGGTGTGTCCACTCACAGGATGAGTGGCGCTGCCCAATACTGTCACTATGGCGGTGAGTCCACTCACAGGATGAGTGACGCTGCCCAATACTGTCACTATGGCGGTGTGTTCACTCACAAGATGAGTGGCGCTGCCCAATACTGTCACTATGGCGGTGTGTCCACTCACAGGATGAGTGGCGCTGCCCAATACTGTCACTATGGCGGTGTGTCCACTCACAGGATGAGTGACGCTGCCCAATACTGTCACTATGGCGGTGTGTCCACTCACAGGATGAGTGGCGCTGCCCAATACTGTCACTATGGCGGTGTGTTCACTCACAAGATGAGTGGCGCTGCCCAATACTGTCACTATGGCGGTGTGTCCACTCACAGGATGAGTGGCGCTGCCCAATACTGTCACTATGGCGGTGTGTCCACTCACAGGATGAGTGACGCTGCCCAATACTGTCACTATGGCGGTGTGTCCACTCACAGGATGAGTGGCGCTGCCCAATACTGTCACTATGGCGGTGTGTTCACTCACAAGATGAGTGGCGCTGCCCAATAAACTCGCCCCTCGGGGCAAAATTTAAAATTTAATTTATTGCCACGGGTTAAGGGGATTTAAAAAAACAGAACTGCAATAGCCCAAAACCTGGCAGAACAATGCTGGGAAGAACAACTACGTAATAGAGATTAAAACCAGTGCTGCGAGAAAATAGGCACCGTAGCACTAGAAACATGAAGACGGCATATACCACTAAGAACCGGCATATACCACTAAGAACCGGCATATACCACTAAGAACCGGCATATACCACTAAGAACCGGCATATACCACTAAGAACCGGCATATACCACTAAGAACCGGCATATACCACTAAGAACCGGCATATACCACTAAGAACCGGCATATACCACTAAGAACAAGGAGAATAGGCTACAAACTGGAACGGGAGCGACGCTCCCTCTATAAGCAGAGAATACCAATAGAAGAATATCTCAAACGCTTCACTCTATCACCAACAGCGACGAAGAAAGCTAAGTTGGGGGAGTAAAAATGACCGCGCTGAGGGAACAAATTCCTGAGAGAGTCATATCAAACCCAAGAGAGGCAAAGCGAGCAAAATTCCCTAAGTAAAATAGAGAGGAACCCAAAATACTTGTTCTCCTATGCATAATCTAGAACAAAAACTACATCCAGCATCGGTCCCTTGCGCAAGGGTGATGGAACTTTCACAGATAACAACAAAGAAATGAGTGACATACTGAGGCTTCAGTACGAGTCTGTTTTCAGCGAACCCCTGAACACCACATTGATGATCGATGATCCAAATGAATTCTTCATGAATGTGACACCAACATCGAACCCCCATACCAGAATGTCACCGTAACCCCATCGGACTTTGAAGTAGCCATAGAGAGCATGCCCATGCACTCTGCACCAGGCACAGACTCCAGGGGCTAGATTCACGAAAGCGGTTACGCAAGCACTTACGAACGTGTACATCTTTCCTCAATGTTTGACGGCTTTGGTTACATTTATTAAACAGTTTACAAGCATGAAAACTTGCCAATCAACTGTTGTTATTGTTATAAACAGCCTCCTGGTGCTTCGGAGCTCATTAACTGTTTAATAATTGTAAACAAAGCCGCCAAAGATTGAGAAAAGATGTTCAGGTTCGTAAGTGCTTG